GCATTTTCTCTGTTAAGAAGTTGTCATGTTTACCCCAAATGTTGCAGCAATCCCTTTTGCCTTCATCAAAATTTCGTATTTGTTTTTGAATAATGCAGTTTTTGAATGTAGTTCAGTTAACCAGGATTAGAAGCTATTTTCTAAATGACTTGTATGTAATGACTAATTTTTTTTTTTCCTAAAGGTTATTTCTAATGCTGGTTCACCAACAGACAAAGTTGAAGGCATTTTGATAAAACACAGATTTGCACAAGAGAATCAAGAGCAAAAATGGAAATACTGAAAGAAAAAATATGGGAGACAGGTGGACTAAGCATTTAATCAATTTTACATAATGCAGAAAGAGACTTTTGAACTGTGCAGTGTTAGGAAGTGTACAGATATACCCAACTCAAACACTTATTTTATTTAATGGCTGCTCCCTTGTGATCTGAACTTCAGTCACACTTGAGTGTATTTCAAGACTGTTTAGGCTTGAAAGTCATGGTGGGGAGAGAGGGAAGACAAAAGGGAGTGACTCACATCCAAACACACTCCTAGAACCAGTGCCATGTGCAGGATGAGGTCCCTGCAATGCCCCATCTCCCCTGGGCTTATCTGGCTCTTTACTAGCAAAGACACTAAGGAGTTCTAGCTCAAGGACTATTGAACAAAAATAGAATAGGGCACAGGAAGGTGAACTTTAAGGGGATATTTTACCTTGCAGAAAGCCATCCCGTGCACACCTTTACACAACACTAAAGAAGGTGCTCGTGCTTTACCCACATAACACATACTAAGTTCATGTAATTATCTAGAAACAAATTGCAAGCTCTTTAATTTTCCTCTTTTTTTTTTTCCTAGCATGCACAGCTAGTCAATGAAGTAGCTTAGTTTAAAAATGCTCATGCTTTCTAATAACTCTGACTCTTGAAAAAAAAAAACCGATGAAACTCATGTAGTGGTAATCTCCCTTCTGTAAGGAATTCTATCCTAGGAAATACCTTTTCCTAGCATGAACTGAACACCATTTTCGATTTTCTTAAGAGTCCTCCTGCTTTCAGCACTGAGGTCTGATACCTCCATCCATCAGCAGCACTGAATAAACAGAACAAGCATCAAGGGCTGCACTCCCCATGCAGCAGAAGAAAACTCATTTCACAGGAAACTCTCATGGCATTTCCCCCCTGCCAGCCCAGCCCCAAAGGCAAACTCTCCACCTCTCTGGCACACACTTAACTGCTAAACTCACCAATTCCTATGTCAAACTAAGACATTGTTCTTGTCTGCACAATGTGACAGCAATGGCCACTGCTCACAGAGTTACACACCAAAGTCTCACTTGGATGTCCAGGTGGAGACATGCCAGGACAGCCTCAGTCAGATTTATCAGTTCATGGATATCTCTACCTTACAGAACTACTTTAGTTCCCACACAAAGGATTTTATTGGACTGTGATACCATTAGCTATAGAATTATTTTTACGTATATACACCAATATTTGTCATTACCAAATGCAAGTTAATTTGGGGAGGTTTTAGAGTAACTACATAGTATTTCTAAAGGAGTTTAATATTTTCATCTGGATTTGTAAAGGCAGAAAACAGATTGAAACCGTACCCAGCTCTCCAATTTGTATTGCTATATTTATAAACATGGAAGAGTATTCTACAATCACTTCCATTTTTCAGAATCCCAAGCACAAAAACTTCACCAGAAGCCATAAGAAGTGAACTTTGAAAGTCCTCCATGGAACAGGAAACCCTGCTGCAGATAGCTGATTTTAAATTAGTTTTTAAATTAGTGAGATAATCCCTATTTTTAATTTGGTATTTCAGTAAAGGTTTCCATCGATCTCAGTTTTCCAAGTGCACTTGAAAGCTTCTAAGTAACAGCAGTAGGCCGATTTTTAATTTTGCTTTCACACCACTTGATTGGATTCAAATTCTGTGAGGCAAAATGATATTTGGCAGTAAATGACACAAGATGCCACTTGGCATCATATTCTGATTTTTAAGCAGAAACTGTTGGAACGCTTAAAATCATTTCCTTGTCTTACTATAGAGTATCTGAAACACAGGTCTAATTTATTAATGACTCCAATGTCAAACATAGGAAGCCAGCACACTAAAACCTCCTTTTTCTGTAGATTGGAAGGATATTGATTAGATTAACTGGGGGAAAGTTCAAAATACTGCATGAAATGTATGAAACATAAGGCCTACTACATAATCAAGAAACGCTACAGACAAATAGAGACTTTACAATCCAAGGACTCATGATGGTCAGTTCAGGAGGTACATGCATATTTTACAGACCACTGCAACCTCAAAACAGAATTTCATCAACCTATAGTTACATCATAAACACCATTTAATCAGGATATTTGACTTCATTACCTTCAGCCCACAAACACTTATTCTATCTCAGCTGAGCTGCACTGCCACTGTGTATTACAAATATTATTTTCATGCTTCCCCCATCCACATTCCACTACTCTTTGTTACCCTCTCTCATCTCAGTGACTTTGCCATTTGTATGGCAATTTCCTCTAATAGCTTTACTCAGATTCCGAACTGTGCAAAATGCTGAACAAAGCAGAACGAGTAATTCAAGCACCTTTAAGAGGAGTACAGAGCCCTTTAGCAAGCATTAGATAAGCTTCTGAACAAACAGTATTTATTTGGCAAATTATCCCTAAGGTCATTGAATTCCACAACAACCAGAAGGAAACCCAACAAAGAGGAATGCACAAGGAACACTTTTACTGTTGGGGAAAACCTCATCTAGTTGGTATATACAACCACACTTACATAAATGGGGTTTCATGCTTTAAAGCAGCACTAATTCTTATAAATGCTTGCTTCTGGTAATCAAGAAGCTTATCAGAAAGAAAGGAAAAAAACAAAGCAGTGACAATACATCTCCCAGAGTTCCTCTGGTACTCCAGGGAAGGATCCATCACTAGAAACTCACATTACACAAGGTAGGAATGTTTAGCATCTCTTGATATTCACACAATACAGTGGTCAAGGGGTACAGTTTTTTGTATCTGTTTTTAGCCAGCATAGACTGGCTAAATAGATATTGAAGATGAGACCTTCCAAAAGCAGTAATGGAATTTGGTTCTGAAGCTCCAGAAGGACACAATATTAGTGCATTACTCTGGTTCATCAGGGATTTCAACGAGATTCATCAGGGATTTCAATCTCTACTTCAGGAATGCCTAAATTGCCACGGCTTCAGGCCAAGTTCTTCATAACTAGAAGTACAAGAGTAAGGAATATGAGCTGGTGATGTCTGGGGCTCATCCTCCAAGTTCTGACCAGAAGCAACATCCCAACCTTTTCAAAACAAATTTTCTGTTGAAATTACCCTATTATAAGAAAAGCATTTTGTCAAAAATATCTTCACCAGCTCTCATTCACCAGTTAAGCATTTAGTCTCACAGAGGCAGATTATTTTGTTCTACTTCCCTTCCATAGAGCTTCAGTAAGAACATCCCTGGTTCACTCAGGCAGTTCAAGACTAACACACCTTCCACACAGCTGCCTCAATTCAGCCACACATTTAAGCATTAAGCATGTTCACATGAAAGAGTGAGAAACAAGAGCCTGGCACTTGTTGAGTTGATAGACAAAAAGCAAGATTTCTTTTTGATAGCTGACAAAACTGTCAACAAACATAGATTTAGGAGCTTGAACATCACTAAATAAGCAGCAGGAATGAAAATACACCATCCGTTCAGACTTGCCAAACATCAGCTTCATTTGTGATTCTAAGTTATAAATCTTTGATAGTTTGGGGCTGTGGAAGCGTGCAGACTGTAGTGAAACAGTAACTCATGCAAACAAAGCATAAAGCAAACAAATTTTAAAAACCCCAAACAACAAACCCTTGTGCCTACAAGTGACTGGGATCCCATTGCAACTCAGCCTGTGAGGTGTGGAGCAGGAGCTGTTTTCCACACGAGAAGATGCTACACTGCAAAGTTTGCTGCAGCATCAGAAACCCTTGCCCTGCTCCTTGCATTTAAAAGGGATGTAACAGTATTATTCATCCACTCCAGGGTTTGCCCAAGAGTATTGAGAAGTCCCTTAGGTTTATCTCCTGTAATCACCCTTTTGAACCCTGAGCAGAAGTCCTGGCTCAGACACACAGTGTTGAGCAGCACATTAAAGAGAAACTCAGAATAACTGAAGGGAACAAGTGCAAAACAGTCCTTATGTGATTTTAGGGTCATTTACTCTAGAGCAAGGGTCTGTCTGCTTCTGTGCCTCAGGAAAAATCCTGCAGAGTCCACAATATTCAAACCAAGAAACAGCACACTTCAGTTTTATCATTTTCCCCAGAACACCATCAAAAAGACACAAACAAAACATGGCCACTCACACACTTAACAGAGCTTGTGCCAGAAGGAGCTTTCAAAATGTTACATTTCAGAGTGCTAAAATGATTGTTCACAGAAACAAAGCCAAGCAACAGAGGCACAGAGCACAGATGAGCCAGCTCTGGAGCTGGGCAGGAACCCAGTATTTCATTACATTCCCACTCTGACTTTAGCCTCAAAAGACTTTTTGTCCTCAGTCCAGCTCCCACTGCTGCCAGCCTCTCCACTGGTTTCAGCAAAGGTTGATTGGGCCTCAGGGCTTAAGTTTCAGACATGCTGGATATGTGTTGACCTCAGCTGTCGTGATGAATGCTCAGCAACACATCTGGGAGAGCAATTCCTCTGCATGCAAAACAATTCTGGTCACATCATCACCTCACAGGACTCACAAAAGCATAGAACTACTTTAACAAGAAAGACAGCCTTGAGAAGGTTGGCGACAGAGAACTCCAACAAATCAGTCAAGAAGACTAAGCACAGGCTGCAGACTTGCAGAAGGTTTCAGAAATAAATACACATCCAGTAAAATTCTTCTCTATAAAGTGAAGCATTCAGTAAACTTCAAACCATAAACTAAAGCATTCTATGAACTGAAACATCATGAACGAAAATAAGGGAATTTGAACATACCTTAAAAGACAATGCAGCTCTGCATGACTTGCAATAAAGCTTCTTCTTTCTTCCCCTGGTTTATAGGCAGAATAAGCCAGAACTTACATTTTCTTCTCCAGCCTAATATACCTGTCCTCCATTGAAATTCTTGTTTCTATTAAAGCACAAAGCACTTAGGTGCTTAAAATGTACTTGTGCAATATTTCGCTTGCATCTATCCAAAACGCATTGAACAGTAAATCATTTTTATCCCTAAAATACTATTATTAATACCTGAGAAGTTACACAAAGGCGTGGAGGAGGCCATCTAGAAACAGCAGGTATTATAAAAATAATTTCTTTCCTGTTTCTTAAGTGTAGGACTTGAGAGAGCCACAATAGACAGAGTAACTCCAGACAACTTCAGAAGGCTGCAAGCATCTGCCCTTTCTTGTTCTTCAGCCCATCCTTTTATCCCCTCCTGTTGATGCCCTGCACCTGAGTGCCCTCTGCTCCCCGTGTGATTGGTCAGTGCCCCTGGGCACTCCACGCCTCGTTATCTCCATTATCATTCACCTGAGCACACAGCTGTAGACAATTAGGGGTGAGGCTGGGCCAGCCCCACTCCCAATCACCACAAACTGTGTGCCTACATTTAACTACCTCACAGACTCAAACTGCAATTTTTAAGGCCTGGGAAGACATACAGGCTTTATGTTCAGTTCTCCAGACCTACTGGGGAAAAGTAGCTTCCTATAACAACAGCAGTAAATAAGCAATTTGTCACATGGAGAAAATACTCAAGATTTTCTCAACAGATCAGTAGTTCTCTCTTCAAAGACTTTTATTTTTAAGTATAATAAATAAAATCTCTATCTTCCTTTCTAAGTCCTTTTTTCTTGCCCATCAGGAATAGCTTTTACAATTACAAAGGAAATGCTGTGATGAGCTGGAGCTGAGAATCTCCCTGGAGCACTTTATGAAACTGACTGGCTTTCAGTGCTGTCTCGGAGATCTTCCACATAAGAGTGATTTTAAAAAAAGGAAAGAGAAGCAAAGCATGATTCTGATGAAACATATTGAATGAGGATTTAGGGATTCACCAAAAAAGGTGTCATTTCCCCTTCATTCAAGCTTATTATGTAAGCTTTGACTTGTCACCAGCTTAAAAGCTGGGAGTTCTTGCATTATGTCTGGTCAATGCCTGGTGCAGTGATGACTTCAGGTACTATAAGAAGGGTGGGACTGCATCAGTATCATAGCTCCTGGCTAGATCCTAGTGTGCTCATAACTTTCTATACCCAGGGAAGAACTAAATATAAATGCCCAAAATGGTTTCCTTCAATAAATTCATTATCTATGGCCTGGTTACAAATTGTGCTGTTAGCATTTGGACATGCTGCTGTTAGCAGAGAATCAACAATGCAGATTTTGGGTAAAACTCAGTGTGAAATGGAATAAAAAGGTAGAGCTGAAAATCTTCAGCAGGGCAGAAATTCCTTCCACATTCCCAGCAGCAGGATGGGCCTTCCCTACAATGCATAGCAGTTCTTGATTGAGGCAAACAGGTCCAAGAAGCTTTATCAGCACAGCAAGCACTGGAAATCACAAATGTAGGCAAGAGGTTGAAAAGAAATCTTGGACCACAAGAGGCAAAAGCAATTGATGTTACACCATACTGACTATCTAGTCCTGCCAGAGGACAGAGAAGTTTAGCACCACAGGACCTTAGAAATTACAGGTTATATTGTTTGTAGCTCACATTAAAAACACTCAGATTATTTCTATTAGCCAGTTTTTCAACTTATTCTTTTCTTAAGTAAATCAAGACATTAGTTGCTAATGCCAAGTTTATGGAGGTAGCTGTTAACAGTCCTTTGATTTCTGCTTGAAGTTCTAAAATACTTTCTAACAAAAACATACTTTTTTTACAAGACAAGCAAGAAACACATTTTCTGTTTATCTACTGGGATAAACAAAGCAGTAATTGGTAATTCATATCTTCCTTAAATTATTTTCCTCAGTAGGAACTGAGAGACACAATAGGTGAGCATTGAAAGGAAGAAAAACATCTGAAATGCTGCAGGTCTTTATCTCACAGCAATGATTATGAAGGCAGCCTTTATAGGTCTTCCTCTGTCAGTCTGAAAAAAGTTCCATGTTACAATTAAATCAAATCAGATGTAAGAAAAAGAAAGGTATGAAACACTGAAGTGTAAAGATGCTCATTACTCTGAAAGAAAAATGAAACTGCATACAGAGTAACTGCATAAACCACACATTCTTGTGTCACCAGCCAAAACAATCTTATTGATATATATTTTTATATCTGACATTAGCTTGTAATAACATTTTCAAACAATAGTTCTTTCCTATTGATTTTCTGTGCAATCCATTAGAGAGACTGCTATCACCTTTGAGTCAGCTACAGGGCTTTAACCTTCCAAGAAGTCTGGGAACACAAATATGACAGTTTTTCTGAGCAGCATTGATTGCTGCATATTTTAAGTTATTCTGTAGAGGAATACCAGAAAAATAGCTTCTAGATGCATAATGTATAAGCTCATTTACAGGAAGTAAGGAACAAATCAAAAAGGGAGAAGTGACACCTAAGAAACTGATAGAAGCAACAGCAATTTTGTCAAGATAGATAACAACATGGAAAATTTAACCTTATGGAAAAACTCTCTTTATTCAAAGCAGGCATTTTGACCAACAGCCTTTTATTTTGCAAACTGTGCTTCCAAAAGGTAATGAAGAGTACCCAAAATGATATAAAGAGCCTTGCCCCTTGTCTCTGAGACCTCAGCACGCAGCCTGCCAAAGCTCCAAAACGTAGACTTCCCTCCCACAAACATCCAGTGACATGGAGCACAGCACTAGGCTTCCTGGCCAATGCACATATTCACAAACCTCGTGATAAATGTGAAATAGAAGGTTTGCAAACACAGTGTTACCATAATTCTCCATTCCTCTGCAGTTCCTCAGACCTAGGCTCGTGCTAGATTCAGATCAGCAGCCAGCAGATCTGTAAATGCCTCCTAGGAAAGGGTTTCCCAAGCCAAGATCAGAATCAATTTTACTTCACAGCTTTTACCTGAAAACCATACTATGTTACAACATAATAAACATCCAGCCAGGAGTCCATAAATATTTAACTAATCAGTATTGGTTTTGTTTCAGGCAGCTTGACAATTTACAGCTGTGTGCTTAATGAAGCACAGGTTCTCCAGGCCCAGCAGAACACAAGAGGGGTGTTTTCCCTGTCCATTTTCTATGAAGAGATTCCCAAACTCCTGTCACTGACCACTCTGTTCTGACCATGCCTTTACCAGTGGCCTCAAAGGAAGGAGCCAGTCCCTGTTGGACCCCACTGCTTGAGGCACAGAAAGTGACCAGCAAGGATGTTTTAACCTCACATTCCTTTCAAAGAGAACATCTGCAGAGTGCCTGAAGACATGCAGGTGCCAAAATGGCTCCATTCAGCACACAAGGTATCTTTGTACTACAAACAATTCCTGCACAAAAGTGCAAGTTCAGCTGGAAAGTGCCACTTGCTCCTCTTGCACATTGAGAAGGCAGCAGCCACACAGCACAGCACATTTTGCCTGCAGTTACCCCTTGGACTGGATACAGACCTATCTTCCTCATCTCATCAGAACTTTGCTGCCTACATACTTTGAAAATATGATTATGTTTTATACAGGTTGAGTTTAGACTCCAAGGCCCATCCATGCCATTGCTTACCAGGCATAGAAAGCAGGAAGCATTATTCTCTGGTACAGACTCCATTGGCATACTAGAAGATAAATCAAACAAACAAAAAAATTAGCTGGGTAAATTTCTTAAATTATAGTTAAAATTATTTGCAAGCAAAACTAATATACTTGATCTTCAGCTTAAAAGCTTTGCCTAGCAGTTAACCTGAAGTGTGGATGTGCTCCCTGTCACCTCAAAGCCAGTGACTCTACCACTTTTCATCAACCAGGGAATAGATATCCATCTTTGACATTGCTCTAGTGAAGCCTTCAGCAAACTCTCATCATGAGCAGTGGTGTTAGCAGGCACATAAATACAAACATCCCAACCTTCAACAGCCAGCAGCAGTTGTTCTTGTAAGGAACAACTCTTTCAGTTCATTTAATAATCTGCCAAGTCTTCTGCAGAGACCTCAGCTCAACTGTTCTGCACCATTATTGGCTTGTGACTGCAGAGATTCCAGACTCACTGGAGCACAAGCTCATGTAAAGCTGGGCAGACACAGAGAACAAACAAAAGCAGACTGGACATATTATCAGCAGATTCTCAAAACCATAATACCCAATTACATAATTAATCCTCTCATTCAGTCCAGTTCTTCTGCCACCTCAGCAAGCTATCTGTCTAGCTACAATCTTATCTTCATTTCTACACTACCTGCCCCAAAACCTATGTCCCTAGATGCCATGTGAAAAAATCCTCAATTGGTAGAGAAGTCATACTTCAAAATACAATATCCATCAAAACACCTACAACAACACATTGTTCTCTTGCAAATCCCTTAATATTACTCAATACTGAAAGCCAATTAAAAAAAGCATGATGGGTCTTATGTTAAGGCAAAGAGAGGAGAAATTACTCATCTAAAACTTCCATAACTGCTGCTGCAAAGCAGCCACACGAGGATGTAGCAATTAAAAGTACAAGATTTAAGTGCATGTAAATAGATTTGCTGGGTATCGAGCTAAATGGTAAAATGAAACACTGTGTATGGAAAACAATCTTCAGAAAAAAATTACTCTTCATTATTGTAAACTTGATGATTTGAAAATCTAGAACACTTCAGATATAGATTTGCAAACTCTATTTGTCAAGTGAGTGCATCTTATTCCCTTCAGCAAGTTGTCCTGATTTTCTTCAAAATTCAAAAATCCTTCTAGGGGGAGGTTAAGTTGAAAGTTCTCTATATAAAAATATCTCCCTTCACATTCTTTTCTCGTATTTCTCAGCCCTGAATTTATAAAAGCAATTCCACAACATATTCGCTGAAACTCCTAATATAAATACAGAAAATCTCACAGTCTGTAATGAGTGTTACATGAAACATGAGCAGGGAGTGTGCAATCTGTGAGCCACCACTGCCCTCATCTGGGAGAAGGCTGAATCTCCCTTTCTACCAGAAGACATTTTAATTTTCCACATGATTGTTTGTATCATTAGTTTAGTATTACAGATCCGAGAATACATACTGTCATTTATATTTTCCTTCAAGTTTAAGTGTCCTCTCTCAACGACAGGATTCCTTTTAGATCCCCTAGCAAGACAAGGAGAAAAACCTGCTACTACACCTGGGCAAACAAACAAATCAAATCACCGACCCAAGAAACCCACAGCATTTGCTTCCACACGAGTGGTAACAAGTGATTTCAGTGCTGAATCCATCTACATACAAATGCAAACACCA